GGGAAATGGCTCAGCAAAGGAAGCCACAGAAGCCGCAGGGCCTTGCGGGGGTAGGGATGGTGGTGGTGGTGTTGCGGGAGGAGGGTTTGAGTTCCAGATGCGGTCCCCAGATGCACATGGCCCAGAAGGGGTTGCTTCTTGGGGATTCTGAGCTGGCATATGGGAAACGAGGATGGTTAGTTTTGCAGGCTGACCTGCTAAAGCTTTGGGCCGGTTCTGTTTGTAGGAACAAGGCTTTGGTGCCGCTTGCGGGATCAGTGAGGTTTGAGTTTTAAGTAAATGCACATGCAAGAGCAGGGGTCAGAGGTCAGTGCCAAACCCACTGGTGGGCCCTGGAGAGTGTCTGCCTTGGTGTCCCCTGCTGGGTGACCTCAGATGGTCCTCACTTGTTTGTGTTGGCGGGGGCGGGGGGGGGGGAGATTGGAAAGGAGCACCGAGGTCTTGTCTCCCATAGCAGATACCCTTTCTTTAGCTTCATGAACTCCTGTTGGGCACCAGGCACTTTTTTTGACCCCAAGAGTCTGTCAAGGGACAGAACAAAGTCCTGGCTGCGTTGGCCTTTCTGTCTCCTAAGCAAAGCCAGCCAAGTGCTCACTGCCTCTGATGCCGCTAAATGCTGCTGGGGACAGTCGGGGCAGAGAGAACAGGGCTGGATGCGATCTGGATCTGGGGGCGTGTGAGAGACCTGAGGGCAGTGAGAGCACACATCCTGCGGTGTCTGGGACAGAGCACAGACCAGGTGGGCCCGTCCCTGGTGGGCTGCAGGAGCACGTGGAGCCGGAGGAGTGAGACAGGGTAGATGGCGGGGGGACTCCGAGGGCAGTGGCCACCCCTGGCTTTCGGACGGTTCTGAAGCACCACAGGCAAGGTTTAAGATTCCTGTGTTGACATCCTTGTTGCTAAGGTGACATTAGGTGTTGGCCTTCGGGAGGTGGTAACTGCATCACGAGGGTGGCACCTGGTGGGTAGGATTAGTGTCCTTCCTAACAGTCCCACGGGAACTCATTTTTCCTTCAGCTGTGTGTGGACACAGCAGGCAGCACCCTGAACCAGAAAGGGAGTCCTCAGTGGACACCAAGATTCCCTGGGCCATCCAGCCCCCAGCACTCGGAGATGGTTTCATTTGGCTAGAAGCCACCCAACTGGACATGCTGAGTTACGGCAGCTCAGACAGACCAAGATAAAAGGCTTCACCTTGGATCCTGGACAGGCTGTGCATGTTTCAAGATTGCCGGCCATCATATGAGGAAGAAGTGAGAACTCAGGAGATTCAGGGTATATTTTCATATAATGCTAACAGGTTTGGTTGGATATTAGGTGTGAAGGAAAGAACATCTGAGATGCCGCAAAGTTTCAGTCTTAAGCATTTGCAAGAGTGGAGTTGTCATTTACAGAAATGGGGAGGGCTGGGTTCACAGAATTTCCGGCTTGACCAATCATGTTAGGACTAGGTATGAAGATTGAAGGCGGAATCGTTCTGACTAAGTTTGTTCCTTAATTTTCTTTGTCCTCGGACACAGCCTCCTTTGTATGTAGGTTAATTCTACCACAGTCAGGTTGGAGACTATGTAAGCTTTCAAGGACATCCCCCCAGGTCCCTGCAGCTCATTGGGGTCAGAGCCTTGGCAGAAGAGGGGGGTCCTTGGAGACTCGATGAACCCTGGAATAGACTATCTCTGTGGACACCCCTCGTTTCAGGTGATGTGTTGATTTCCTGGCCACTTACTGGCAGGCTTCAGACAACTGAAACATATTGTTTCATAGTTAGGGAGGCTGTAAGTGCAAAATTCAGGGCTCCAGGCTGCTCTCACCGAGTTGTTCTTGCCTCTCCTGGCTTCTGGTGGCTGCTGGCAGCCCTCGTCATTCCTGCCTTGTAGATGGACAGTCTGATTTCTGCCGCCTCCAACATGTGATGTCTCTCGGCTCGCTCATCCTCCCTCCGTCCCTCCCTCTCTGTCTGTGTTTTAAGAACCAGGATCACTGGATTTGGGCCCACTCTAGTCCAGTCTAGTCCCATTCTACCTTGGCCACGTCTGTGAAGACAGTTTCCTCATCAGGTCACTGATGGGGAGCAGGGATCAGAACATCTATCTGTCTCCTTGTCAGATGCAATTTAGTCCACAGCAGGTGCCTCGGTCAGGGGTTGTGAGGGCTCAGATGTGCTTGGGATGAAATAGGAGCCATGGAAGTAAAGTTAACAAGGGGTCCCCCCATGCTAGGAATCCCCATTTGTTAGAATTAGGCGTTTTAGACTTATCCATGTATTAAATTGTTGAAAGATTTAAGATAGGTATTATTTGGAATAATTTAAAAATAGGATATAAATGGAAGTCAAGACAAGGAAAAGGTGTTATAGAATGCTAACTTTAAAATGTCCACAAGAAACAGAGATGGAGAGAGGTCTTCTGTCCACCGGTTCACTCAGATGGCTGCTACAAGTGGGGCAGGGCCAGGCTGGAGCCAGCAGCCAATAGTTTCTTTGAAGTTTCCCGCATGGACACAGGGATCTCAGCCCTTGGACTGTCTTCTGCTTTTCCCAGGTCATCAGCAGGGAGTTGAATCAAAAGTGGATCAGCTGGGACATGAACCCTGTGTCTATACAGGATGTTCGTGCTGCAGGCAGCAGCTGTACGTGTTAGACCATAGTACTGGCCCCATAGCTACATTTTAAAGCTGAGGTTACAAACTGAATTTGGCCCGTGGCCTGTACAGTGGGGCAGCACGTCCTTGCTGATGACCGGGTATGCCAGTCTCTAGCATGGCAGCAAGTGAGCCGAGGCGGGGCTCGCAGTCCTGGGTCCTGAGCACTGGCTGTTGCCACGGGAGAACCTTGCTTACTCCACTGGCCCTGACCTTAGCTCCGGTGGGGCTGGGGCCCCAAAACTCCAGGTGCAGTGTGGCGCTATCACCCGGCATGTGTGCATTCCTCAGTGGTGTGTCAGGACTTGTATTTGTCTCTTTCCAGCTCGCCACCAGTCAAGTCTAGGGATCGTTTATCAAAGGAAGCCCATGTTCCCACTTTGATAGCACAGCGATAGGACCGTACCAGCCCAAGAAGTGTAATTAAACAAAATTCCCTAGCAACAATCTGCGTTTGTGGCCATTACATTGTTGTCATGGTCACTGAACTTTTATGGAGTTCCTGTGTGTCATAAGGATTGTGTGCGAGTTGGACAAATCAGAGATGAGGAAGGCAGGGCTTTTTCCATCATAGGGGTATTTGAATTGGAGAGGTCAGACCCGAGTCAGAGGTTCACACAGGAACGAAGATCTGTGTATAACATAATCGGCTCCTATAGGAAAAAAAAGCTTCTTGAAACAATTGTTGGGGCTGCTGCAGTGGTGCAGTGGGTTGAGCCATGGTCTACAGCATTGGCTTCCCATGTCGATGCCAGTTCAAGTTTCGGCTGCTCTACCTCCAGTCTCACTCCTTGCTAATGTGCCTGGGAAAGTAGCAGACAGCCCAAGTGCTTGGGCCCCTGCGCCCACCTGAGACCCTGAGGAAGCGCCTGGCCTTGGCCTGGGCCCGGGCATCACAGCCATTTGCATAGTGAAATAAACACTTGATGGACCATCTCTTTTTGCCTCTTTTTATCTACCGCTGTTCACTCTACCTTTTAAGTCAATTTTAAAAAAATGTTAAATTTATTTCAAAGGCAGAGTAATAGGGAGGAGGGCAGTTTGGTGGTAGAGAGAAAATAAAAATTTCCATGTTACAGGTACACTCCCCAAATAGCAATGTCCAGGGTCTGGGTCAGCTGAAGCCAGGAGCCTGGAAGCCCATTCAGGTCCCCGGAGCCCAAGCACTTCGGCATCTGCCTCTGTCTCCCCGGTGCTGTACCAGGGGGCTGGATTGCAAGCAGAGCTGCTGGGACTCAAACTGGTGCTTCAACATGAAATAGCAGCATTACAAGTGGCAGTTTAACCCTCAGGCCACAGTGCTGGCCCCAAGAAGCAGCTTTGAAATATGTTATTTAGTAAGTCTTTGGAGAAGTGGGAGGTGGCTTGAACTTGCCATCGTGGTGGGTGGAATCAGGTCCCAGGCAAGGCTGGTAGAGTAGGCTGTGGCGCTGCTTGAAGCACAGGAATGCATTGCTCACCTGGTCCCTGTGCTGACTGGTCCCTGGCACCCTTGGGTCCCAGGGCCACTTGGGGAGAAGAGGGTAGGTGTGAGATACACAGGAGACACCTGTTACTGGCTGCAGAGTGTGTGTGCCTGGAGAGGGAGTAATTTAGAGTATTCTTAAGTAGTTTATTTTTGAATGTTCTGGAGTCATTTCCTTTCCAAGGGAGCCGTCACCGCATGTCTGCTGAGTGGGAATGTAGCCGCTGCTGAGGCCCCAGGCCCTCCTGGGGTGACTGCAGGGCAGCTGGTGGGCACACAGCATTTCCTTTGACTCATCTGAATCCTGGGCCAGATGTGGCTCCTGAAAACAGTCAGAGTGCTTTGTCCAAGTTGAGCTTTTTAATTTAGGGCCCAGATGGGGTAAAAGGAACACTTCCAGAAGGTCTGCTGTGCTCCATGTGTCACTGTCCTGGATTCCTGGCAGGGAGCAGTTTCATGAGAAAAGCAGGTTTCCTCCTGACTCACCCGCCTCAGGGCAGATGCGGGATGCAGCGCTGGAGCCTCCGTGCTGGGCAGCAGCCTGCACGGGCTCAGCTGCGGCGCCTGGCCCAGGCCATGGAAAACCCTGAGAGGAGACGGTGCGTTATGGGACAGGAGCTTGGTCCTGGAATGTCCTGGCCTTTGTCTGGTGTACTTCATGTCCCGAGACGCCTGGTTTGAGAGTCAGCTTCCTTCTGGGGGAAGAGGGCCCCCCTAATCTTCCACACAGCTTGTGTCTTTCCTGTTCTAGGCTCCCTGTCCCTACCCAGGACTCCCAGCAGGGAGCGTGCTCCTGGAAGTCACTCATCATGCAGAAGTCGCACTCCTGGGCATCAAAGCTGTATGTGCCAGGCTGGCTCGATCACCTGGTCCTGACCCTTGTTTCTCATTGTAGCAGAAAAAGTCCTACCTGGAACGAAGCGTGAAGGAAGCGGAGGACAACATCCGGGAAATGCTGATGGCTCGAAGGGCGCAGTAGGAGCTTCCAGACTTCCACTTCTGGCCAGGTGCCCTGATGGACATTCTGTCTGCACGGCCCAGCAACCCCACTGTTCTACAACCCCCTGCACCCCTTTCCGGGTCCTACCCTGTGCTGTTGTTTTAAATCCTGGCTCTGCCACTCCTTTCCAGGCCCTTTCTCTCCCCTGAATTCCTAGGGGGAATGGAGGGGCCAGGACGGCTAGCTGAGCCCACCCCTAGGGACACTGGTCACTACCTCCACTCGGGCCACATGTCTGGAGCTGAGGCTGGAGACAGCGGAGGCAATGGGGGGCTCAGCTGGCAGCTTCTCCCTGCACGGTGAAGCCCCTTTCTTCTTGGGGAGTTGGGTCCCATCCTGCCCCCCCTCTTTCCTCACTGTCTGGAAATTCTGGTCCCACCTTCCCTACCAGCTGGTAACAACGCCACCCTTCTCCCCCCCCCCCCCCGAACATGCAGCTCCTCCAAGGCTATCCTGGGGGACAGTAAGTATATCTTGGGGCTGACACTCGACCGTGGGTGCGGGGACTGACTTGTGCAGGAAAGCCAGTTTGGGATTTTTAAGAATTTACTTAAAGCCAGTTGTAAAACACAGCCATTACTGAAAATTAAATTGTGTAAGTTTTCAAATTACATCAAAAACAAAGAAAATAAAGACTCAGAACTCAGCCCCTGTGCTGTGTGCTCTCTGACCCTTGTGCTCCTGGGCTCAGGGTCCGCATATGTGCAGTGGTGCGTTCTTGTGCTGTTTGCACAGCGGGGGGGGGGGTGCACCTTCACCCCAAAATAGATGCTACAAAAGGAACCTTTTTTCAGTCTCCAGGAGAATGTGTGTCAGCTGTCACTGCTTTGGAAGAAGGCAGAGCTGTCACCAGCTGAGAAAGGTGAGTTGACTCTCTGCTGTGGCAGCCTGGCGCCACCCTGTGGCCAGAGTGGAGAAAGGCGGTGTGGCTGACAGGTGAAGATAAAGGAATCCTTAGCATACCCAGGTACTACAGGTGCCTTTCCTGACTTCTGGGTCAAAGCCGGTGCGAGCTGACTGGCGAGTGCCCTGCGCTGAGTCCATCTTGGGGGTGGCCTGAGACTGTGACCTGCCACAGTACTCCCGCAGTGGCCAGAGTCAGAGGGCACTGCAGCCCTGGCATGTGGCTCCTGCTCGGGTGAGCTGCGCTGCAGCCTGGGGGGGGCAAGGGAGTTGGAAACATACAGACCTAGGTGGCTGAGATATTCTGGAATAACTTAGACAACTAAGGTTTGGACAAATTTATTGAAACATACAGGGTGTTATCAGAGAAATCATTCAGTGGTATGTCTTAATCTTGCCATTACTTTGAGTGTGTAGTTTAAAAATTATAAATATTTCATAATTAAGCCTTTGGCCAAAAACAAAACAAAGGAACATCATTTAGCACATTTGTTAGGCATCAGTAAGAAATGGATTGAACATTAAAAAGATCAAGTCACTGAATTAAACAGCAGCAACCCTTGCTAATCTAGAACCCCTAGTGTTGAAGGTAGGTGTCTGCAGAACTAGTCACTTATCAGAGCAGTCAAAGATGGGCAGGCGCACCGATCGGAGGCGACAGCAGAGCTGGCGGGACAGGAGGCCAGGCCAATCAGGTGAGCATGTCCCAGAGGCAGCAGCAACAGAGAGCAGTCCAGCAGGCTGTGAGGCAGGTGGACGGGCCCAGGTCGTCTCTTCTTTGGTCTTCCACCACGTACACTGCGGGAGGGGGAGAGAGGTGAGACCGGTGTGGCGTAAATCCCAGCCCCTGTGCAGGTACAAGCCAGGAAGCACAGCGCCGGCCACCTTTTGTTCCTGCTGGTGGGTGTGTGGGGGACGACGACTGGCCTCACCTGGCCCTGGGCAGGGGCAGACACTAGCACACTCATGGCTGCCACCCTGTGGGGGCCTGGCAGTCTTGCTATAGATAGAGCCAGGCTGATACCACAGATGAAAAAATGGCCATCAGGATCCCTTCCAGAGAGGCTTGGAGCCCTCACTAAACAGCAGGAGCCCTGGCTTTGCCTACATTGATGGAGCAGGTAGGCCGAGAGCCTGGCCAGGCCAACCAGTGCCTGTGCTGTGTCTCCAAAGAGCGAGTTGGAAACCTGAGCCAGCTCAGGGCTGTGCTCCGTGAGAGAGAGGGCAGTAAAGGATGTACTAGCCCCGCAGACCATTGCCTGCATCTCTCTGGGAGCGCCTTCTGAGCGCCTTAACCCTCTCTTCCCCCTGCCCAGGGTCCGAGCTGGCTGATTGTGAGCTTGGTGCGCTCCGAAGCTGTGGCAGCTCCTATTTACAGCCTGCTGCTGTGGCTAGGATGCACTGGGGTGTGGGGAGCATTTCCAGGTTCTCCCGTCCCCAGCATCTTCCTCTTCTTCCTCTTCCTGTGGCACAGCCTGAATTGTAGTCCACATGCCCATGGCCCCCTCAGCATCATGGGTGGGGACCCCACCAAGGAAGCCTGCCCATGTGGGCCTGGAGGCCACAGCTGTGAGCACCTCTGGAATTCACAGGTGAGGAAGGCTTTCCCCCCTCCCAGTGAGGCTGGGGTCTCCCATCCAGGCAGGGCACAGCCTCCCTGGCTCTGCAGACCTGGCCAGTCCCTCTTACCCATCCCAGCCGGGATAGCCAAGGACCCACGCAGGGCGTGGGATGCTCCCAGCCAGCAGGAGTGCTCCAGGCAGGTGGTATCTGCATTGGCCCAGCTGACCTGCCCAGGCCCCATCCTCCTGCAGGAGAAGCTGTGGACAAGGAGAGGTTACAGAGTGGGCCACTGCCCCCTGGGGGATGGAGCCCTGTTTGTGTTCTCCCTGTAAGCTCCAGAAATAGCCCACCTGTTCCTGCATGGTCTTCCCCAGATCTGGCCTTTGACTGTCTCCCACAACAGCACAGCAGTCTTGTTAGCTGCCCCGCCCCCACAGTGGAAGTAAGGGAGCCCTAGATGGGCAGTGGACATGGCATTATCATCCCTGCAGGACAGTGCTCACGGAGCGGAGAAGTGACAGCGACACAGTGGGTGGCTACAAGATAGATGCTACATCACCTGTGACACGCTGACAGCCTGGACAGAACTTTAGAAACCTTAGATGGTGATTTCTGGCAGCAGCTGCCCTTAGAACGTGGCTTCCTGAAATTACTGGGGACAGAACCTCCACTAGGAGGCCATGGAGTCGGGGACAGGAGAGGCCCGAAGGTAGAGGCCATCAGGGTTCTTGCTTTGCAGCTTCTCCAAGTTGGGGGACCAAGCCCAGGAGGAGTGCCTTGTGGTTCTCACCGTGGGGCAGGCCCACAGTTGTCTATCTCATGGCCTTCCCTGTCCCCAGAGCTTGTACCCACCTCAGCCCTGTCCAGGATCCCACCTTAGGGCCTTCCCTGTTTCTCAGGCAGCCCAGCTGCTGGGCCACCCTGTGCACTGGGGCGTAGTGGGCAGGGACAGGGCCGCTCTACCCTGGCCAGACGGACATCCTGGCGGCAGAGCCTAGAAGTGGCGCAGCGGGCCCCGAGGGGGCTCCCTGTTGCTCTCCTGTAAGGGGGTTTAAGGGAAATCCTGGGGAGCAGTGGGCGGGAAGTGGGCACTGCCTTTCCATGTGGGTGTAGTGCTCACCTGGGAAGGAGCTCCGTGTGTGTTCTGAGGGAGACCAGCTGTACCCCCTGTGGCCAGCCTGGGTTCAACTTCCAAGGGCAAGCAGGGCCCTAAGGACTCTCCATCCACCAGGATGCTGCTGGCCCTTCCTGCTGCGGTCTCGTGTCTGAGTTCCCCACTCAGCTGGGACCCAGCCCCTGTGCCTAGGGAAGACATCTGTGCCCTGGCCTCAGGAGCTGGTCCACGGTCTAGGCCTAGGAGTCTGCTCGCTGGCTTGCTTTCGGTCAAATCTCGGTTGTCTTGGGCGCAGCATGGAGAGTGCACGCAGAACGGGATGGCAAGTGTGTAGAAGCTTGCCAGGGGAGCGGGAGGACCCGCAGCTTCTGCTCAGTGCCCCCGGATGTGCCAGAGGGCAGGCTCCCAAGAGTATCTGAGCAGCCCTGCCTTCCACACTGACCCTGACAGGCAAGCAGGGAAGGACAGCTAAAGGGTTGGCCAAACACGCAGGCTCCCACCCGTCCCTGGGAGACAGAGGAGACCGTGCAGCCTGCTGACGGAGGCTTCGCTTCAGCTCTCTGTGCCTGTGTAAGGGATCATTCCTGCCCCACACAGAATAAGCCACCCCAAAGCTGTGGCACCTGCATGAGCCGAGGAGCGGCCAGGGCCAGCAGGGAACCCACCCGGATTCCAGCCGTCCAGAGCTGCACAGAGGCAACCCAGGCTCTTCAGCTTTCATGGGACTCCTTGGATGCCAAGGGCGGGAGAGACCCTCTTCCAGGGAGGGGGACCTGGGCTGGCAGGACCACACGGCCGCAGCCCAGGCCCCCACAGAGCAGCTGCCTGTGCCTCCTGGGCCTCTGGCCATCCTACTGGTCAGACCTCCCTCCTCTCTGTCTGCTGCTTCAGTTGTGGCCTTGATGCCTCCTCTGTGAAGCTCATTCAGATGAGACCAGTGTCCCCAGATAACCACACTGGGGTCAAAAGGGCCTGGAGCTGCCACCAGATTTGCCCTCTACCCCACGTGGCCTAGTTAATCACTCGCTCAGCTCGTCATGGCTCTCCAGAAGGTGCTGACTGCATGCAGGGCCCTGTCCCCAAGTCTTCGGAAGTGCAGCTGACAAGTGAGTCACCTATGGGCCCCAGGACTGTCAGCGCAGTCACACCCCTGCCCCAGTCAATGCCAACAGACCTTACACTATAACCACAGCCCAACTGGATAAGCCAGCAGGACTACCACTACTCTCTCTATCCCATCCTTGGGTTGGAGCTGGAATTCTGAACATGGGGTTGTACTTGCTGGAGTAATTGGGAAATTCTTAGAAGAAGCTGCCCTGGGGCTCATCTTGGCCAGTCATATTTTTTTGCTGAGAGGATGCTGAGCTCAAAGGCGGGAAGTAACGTAACCAAGATGACATAGTGCAAGGCAGGTCCTGGCCTGTCACTCCACCCACGGCCCCGTGTGCTCCACATGCCAGGATGGCTCACTGCTGAGCCACTGGTGGCTTGCACAGGACCTGAGGAGGAGGCTGTGTTGCTTTCCAAAGGGGCTCCCTCTAACCACAATGTTGCTGTGTGTCCCACAGGGTTGGGACCTGTCACCTCAAGATTGGCCTGTTTCTGTGGCCAGCTGGCAGACGGAACTGATTTGAGTCCCTTCTTCCCGGTGGTCACCTGGCAGGTGGAGTGGGGACTGACCCTGCTACTTCAGATTTTGTGCTGAGGACAGGGGTCATGGCCATGGACTTAGATTCTAAGCCTGACAGGCCATGTGACCTCAAGCATCTCCCAGGTTCCCTGTGCCATTTTGCAAATTGCAAAATGGGAGAGACAGTAGTCCTAAGAGAACCTTTAGGTCGGAGACCTAAGAGAGGGTCAAGTGCTTGATCCCGGGCCTGGCCGTGGTGAAGCAGCCACAGCATGGTGACCTCTTGCAGAAGAACCCAGGAACGATCTAGGTTTTCTCATGCTGTGTCTGGACAAGGGGAGGGCTCCCCAGCAGTCCTCAGGGGAAATGGCTATGCATGACACAGCTGCTCCTGCAGCGGGGACAGAGGGAGGGACCCAGGGCGTGCAGGCCTACT